TGACGAAGCGAGCCACTACTTAGTCAAAGACATATTGTCTCCTGATACAGTGGATGTAGTGAATATTCACTGCATTCACGGCAAGATTGCCAACTGGCAGTTTACCGTGTTCACTGAGCAGGGTTAAGAATGCTTAAACATGGAATTGATGTGAATTGTTATTTACTGAGTAAGTACTTAATGAATGCGTTGGTCACTGTTTACCAAAAAGCGGTGTGATGTTTCGACTAGATAAAAGGGTAGCTGGAACTAAGTATAGCAAGATATTGCAACTTGCCGAGCCATCCTTTGTCTCAGCCTGAGCAACTCCCCTTCAGAAGGCCAGACCAAGGGGATTTTGGGGTCGTACGGATCATAGGGCCCTCGGAACTTGATCGCACCTTCCTCAATGGATGCATCTGCCCAAATATTCTACATAAGGCGAATTCGGAATTGGGAACGCACTTGGCCCTTCATAAAGTGAACACATTTCCTCTCAGGGAAAACAGCCACAGGACAAAATTTTTGAAAGCTCAATCGGGGGGTAAGGGCAAAAGCGACCCTTGGCGTAGACGTATGAAGAGCTATACTCAGTTTACTATTTTGAAATAACACCACTAAATTTTGCTAGAGGCAAGGAAACGTACAAACATCCCCAGTCGCTAGTTTTCTGTATTCGTTTTGACGATCAGTGCAAGCTCATTGAAAAATGTACAGCCGCCTTTAGTGAGGCAACAATTCCGGCTTGTATTTCAAATGTATGGCACCTGGACGTTTTGTAAACGCTATAAGGAAGGGCTCTATGTGTTGGTCTTCGTGATCGACTGTCTGCATGCATCGGAATTATGAACGGAAACTGCACCGTAAGGTTGGGTTCAAGACCCTCGTGCAATTTGGGGTGCCCATCCTCAGCTATCCTAGCGTCCATTTTCTCGTGCTTCTCAGCGGTAACAAGAGTCCTGTATCTTGTTGGAGGGTGTTTGCGAGTTGAACTAGATTGAACAAGTTTAAGAATTCCCAGTAAGCAGCTGACGTCCTGTCCAGTCACTAGACTCACTGAACCCGGCGGCCCAGGGGCCGGGGGTGGGGCAAGAGCCAGGTGCCAGAGATGAGTTGTTGTATCGCACCTCTTCCCGATTGGTGTTGCAAGACAACCCCGCATACGTGCACAACCAAGTCTTCTTTCGTGCAGACGATTGTTGAAGAGTTACTTGGTCTTCGATAGCTAGCCTGTACGCAAGTAACTTCACGCAGACCATGCTAAAACGCCCGTTCACTAGCACTCGTACAACTGTGCAGCGCGGAAACCAAATTTCTGCAGGGTCTTGCCTGCGCTCGGTGGGTCTCTTTCTTCCTCTTGCAGTTCCTGGCACCCGGATCAGCTTTGATTTCCTGCAAGTTAGCGCACAGCCTCGGTTTTTACTGACCCCACCTACTCTCTAACACCGTGTGCTGAGCGTGAGGTTCGTACGCAGTGACTCTCCGCACTCTGGACATCTGTTTATATTTCGCGTATCCATGCTAGCATGCAGAGAAAAGCTTTGCCCCTCCGTAGCGAAGTGAAAGAGACAGCCGAGACGTATTCGGAATTATATTATCCTGTTCTCAAACGACCATTTTGTCCTGCTCAAATTCGGTTAAAAGTCGAAGCAAGATAACACAAACCAAACCTCCCCGAACTTCCGTCACGAGTTGAGACACCCCGTTGGCGTAGGGGAGTAAGTAGCTGAGCAAGTAGCGTCGTCCAAGTTTTGAGGGAAGGCCAAAGGGCTGGCTCACAGACGTGCCGAAGACAGCTTCTGTATTTAACATGATGTAACGCGTCTCAGTCGGCAGTAAAGACTGTAACCTCCAGTTAGGATTTATAGTTCGAAAATCTTTGAACAAACACGTAGATCTTCTTAGTAGATCTTCTGGGGGATTTCGAACTGATCGAAGCGAACTTCGATCTAATAAGCTTTCGACTTCTTTGGTTCAAGCCACTATGAAACAAACCAGCCAATTGTTGTAGTTGTCGAACTCTGGGAGCTGACAAATATGCGAAACTGCGTTATTGGACGATGTATTGCATCCCAGAGATAGCTTTCTCACTAATAAGCGCGACCATTATATGAGTACACCGTGAGGCCTCCTTAAAACCTGAATTGCATGCATATCTGTCGGTTATATTTGCGCAGACCAGGCGCCGACTGATCCCCCCAGAAACGTTACGCTGGGGAGTGTACTCATCAGCAGTTGCGGTCGTACGAGGTAGGATGAAGCAAACTATGTTTCGTTTTTCATCGGCCTGCATTTGCCAATTCGTGGCCCGTAAATGGCAGACAAAAAATCCCACGCAGAAGCGTCCCTTCTCGCACGACGCCCCTAACAGACGATTTTTACTCTGTTTCTGCATTGCATACGGAACAATATCTCCCATATCTGTTTGGAATCGAAGGTAGACCATTTTGTGGCGATACAGATGCTTGCCGAACAAGTTGAGATAAGGGTTAGATAAGGGTTATCTGAGGCCATCAGCGTCCAATCACTTGGAGACTATCCCGGGATGGTAGGGTACCGAGAGCAGGAAAGTGAGGTTTTTGCAGTAGATACGCTAGTACAGATACGTAGATACGACTGCTGAGGGGCAAATTGCCAGAATAGCGGCAACCAAGTTAGAGCAACTAGGGGGAGTATTCGACTGCGTTGATCAGAAGTTCAAGCTTGCCATACTTGGCACACAGTAAATTACAGTGACAAGATAGCATTCGAGACGCTGTGACGCAGATTGTCCACGGCAACTGCAATGCCCACTACGGAATACTCTCGAGAGCCATAATTCAAATAGTCGACCACCGTCAGGACGAAGATGAACAAACTGGAAAAAGTAAAGCCAGTGGAAGTCGGAATACATCGAGCGAACCTTTTAGACGAGTTGGAAGCCGGTACCTGTCTCGACAGTGCGCTCAAGCAAAAAGGTTTCTGTGAGGTACGATAACTCAGCGGCATTTAGCGGGCGAAATTTAGAGCTAAATAAGCAATCGGAGTGCAATATGGCAACGGTGATGAGAAGAAGTTCCTACATAATCTAAAAATTAGAGGACGGCAAAGAATGGGGCAATGCAGAATCACGCGGAGTGCAGCTTTGACACTGGAGAGACAGTAAGACAACTTAAAGTATAGTGCGCGACACAGGGAGCACGTATATTACAGCCTGTACTGTGCTGCGGAACGACGGCGTGAGTGCTGTCTTGCATGAGCTATGCATTCTTAAAATAGTGCTTCGGATAAGCGTTCTACAGTCAGAAATATTGGCGAATTAGAGAGTCGGTCTCAAGAGGTTTCCTCTCACTTTAGATGCAAATGCTGCCGACCCTGCTGGAATTGGAAAGGGCTTGAAGAGGCAAAGGCGCCAAGTGTCGCGAAAAGAGACAACTCACAATGTACGTATGGAACAAACAATATAGCTGCGTAAAATTTACAGAAAGAAGTGTGTTTTTATAGGAGACCCCACGCATGAGCTCAAAAGGGCTGCGACGAGCAGGTGCACCCGGACGCCACCGGGGGGAGTCAGCCGGGAAGCCTGAGATTACCGGCGAGTTCAAATACCAGGGAGAGCCAATAGAGTAAGCCCTTGTTACCGGAGTTTTTCAGCCAATCCAGTTTTTAGAAAGGCCTTGGGAGCTGTATTGCTTCACTATTCTTGCGTAATACTTGGCCTGACGACTCGTGTCGTATAAAGGAGCATAGTGATCAATGCGGGGAAAATGCCTTTCCCCCCATCGGGGACCGCAGGAATACATCAGTTCATATTTATGGACGACGACTGAAAGCTGGCGAGCTCATACGTAGTAGTGTTCAAGCACCCCAGCGTCACTGTCTTGAGAGCTACAGTGGCGGCCGGCTGGGCCAATAAAGACCAAAAGCTGCTTTTTATATACATATACGGCGCACGGAGAACAGAATGAAACTCGACAATATGAACAAGTACAATATACTTTACAGCAACGTGGACTGCTCCGGCTCCACTCAATTTCTGGTGCTGCGAAAGCCCTACCAGAAATCATTTTTTGTTGGCTTGCCCCTTCCCTTCTGTAGGGGTGGTAACAATGTCAGCGCCTGCTCACGTAAGGAGGGTCACCAAATCAGAAGTGATGATCCGTACGCGAACGCGTGCGTCTGTTCATTGTTGTATATTCAACACCCGTTCGTTTGGGGGGCTCAAGATACGTTGGAGGATTTTCCAGGGGAACAGTTTGCAATACTGCCCTACCCTTTGGGAGGGTCCCTGCACTCTTTGTTATTTCGGTGTCGGCAAAGGAGGGAATACCTTGCCGAAGCACAGGCATGCTTTTTCTTTTGCCAGGCAGTGGCGGCAGTGGACGCTCTCCACACGCGCGGTGTTTTCCACGGGAACATTAGCTCGAAACAGCTTTTATTCATGGACCAAGCGAGAAGCCGCCTGAAGTTGTCATTGCTTGAAATAAAGGCACGCTCTTATGCTACGACTACCTACCAAGGCACCTCGGTACGCATGAATAATGCTCTTGCCACACCTGCCGACAAACAGGGTGAGGCGCGTGCTGACGTCAGAGCGCTTGGGCGGCTTTTATACGAATTATGTTGCCTTGAACCACCGCAGTACACGTGCTGCGTAGCGACTCGCGCCTCGCAATACCACATTGCAGAACAGGTAAATGGGAGAAGCTTGCGGAGCCAAACAAGCCGGGGCACCGTCTCTCGGGAAACGCCGGGCTTTAAACCGGAAAGTATAATGCACCGGCAACAGCTATACCCTCCGATTTCTCAGCGTTATCGGCCTGAAGTAGCACAGCTTGTGCACTTATTGCTCTTGGGGGAAGCGCACACACTTCCAACCGCTGCAGAGATTTTGGAACTGCCGTTTCTCGAGGCTTCACGTAAAGCGGTCACAGTGCAGCTATATATGTTCTCTCAAAATCAAGACGGTAGTACTATGGCAGTATGCGACTACGAGCCTCCAAGACTTCCACGGCACAGCAAGTCCGCTTTGCTGCAAGTGGATGCAGATACCGTTGAGAATGTGCAGCCGCTTTAACCTTCAACGCTCTGCAGCTGTAGGCGAAAATACATGTCCATATAAGTGGATATTCTACGTTTTTGCTAGGGAGACGGATCCACCGCCCAAAGTGCTGAATTCGACAAGGGCGTCGCTAACAGGCGAAGCAAAAGCTCGTTTTCGAGTCACCGCTTCCAGCGTATGCGAAGAGAACAAGCAGGGAAAGGGCAATGAAAACACAAAGCCCACCTCAACTGCACCAAGATGGAGTGATAACGTGCACTGCGGTGACCAGGTTTTCAAAAGAGGATTAAATCCCAGCGTTGGGAAGGTAAGAGGAGCGTCGACAGCTGCGAGCTTCCCTGCGAGAGGAAGTGCCGAAGGCACGGGATCGCTAGCGTCTGCTTTCTTTCAGGCTTCCAGTGGTGCTCAATCAAGTGCCCGCCCATTTGAAAATGTTACAGCGACTCCAGAAGATAAGCAGAACCTTCTAAGTTGCGTACCAAAAGGCGAAGAAAACCTTATATCTCATGGAATACAGAGAGATCCCGAATACTTTAGCTCTTTAGATGACACGTCTGCGGCTGTGGGCGACAAGAAGATGGACCAGCAGCGGGAGCTGAACGCGCATATGTTTGGAGAAGCTGCAGTGCATGCTGTGCTGACTGCGAGAAAACTTCGAAGAAAACAGGAAAATGCNGAAAGGGAGAGCCAGCTAGCCAAGATTCGTATCGAGTATGCTAAAGAGAGAAAGACTGTTGAAGATTCCGTCAGAAACCGGCTTCTGCAGGAAAACAGCGCGAGGCTACCCATGCATATCTCAGATGAGCAAGAAATGCTGACAGCGAGAGCACCCATTCCCACTAGCGATACCGCAGTAAGGCCCTAGTATAGATGAAATTCCCACCATTTTTTTAGTCAGCTGCAGATGCTGTGCCTGTGAAATCCTGTATGTGACCTCCGTTTTCATTATGCGCGCTGCAGACGAGAGTTTAACTTAGCATGATCATGCGAACCGAGAGAACTTCCTGCAGATGCACTTTGCTTCCTGAGCGCGAAATATCCTCGTTTGCGCTGCATGCGCTGTGCAGTGTACGTGTTGCTGCCTCAGTCCACGCAGCTGCTACTGCGGCCCCGCTCTTAGATCGCCGCCTCTTACGGCAGGCATTGATGCCGCAGCTGCCGCAGCGTCTGCTGCAGCCGAGTTCAGTGCAACAACGCTTCCGGATACGGTGCGCCAACGTGTTAAAAACTTTTAGACGAATATTGCAGCGTTATTGCATTGACAGTAATCGCATAAAAGAGAATGCACTCATAGCTTCTCTCACTGCATCCAGATATCACTTCTACCTGTAATTAGTTGGCCAAAAAGTTTCGCGACTCTCTTGAAGTAATCTGCGGAAATTAAACCGATGTCATTGCTTGCAGTCTCCAAAGATACAAGGAGTGGGTCACCAATACTGCCAAACTATGTATTGTGCAGCACATCAGGTGAACATGTGGGAGGGAGTGAACTGCTTCAGGAAGCAATAGTGACGTCTGCATACAGAGGCTTGTGTGAAAACCGGTTATGGAGCGCGTAGGCCCCTTATCTTATTCACGCAAAACAACAGTACTCTCCAGATAACTTCCACTGCAGCCGCCTGGAGCACGACTCCGGAGGAGGTCGATTAGACGGGCCTTCGCTTGGAGTCGCCCAAAAGCTAAAGTCTGAGATAGATTGCGTGAAGACCGATCAACTTCAGGTGCGGTTCAAAGGGAAATAATACCAAAGATTGGGGTATGACATCTTTGTGCCAACAACCACTGAAGGCTGCATTTAGGGCACCTAATGCCTCTAGTACGGTGGGGGCAGGTGTAGGAAGCTTCAGCGATGTTTTCCGAGCCTAGTCCCTCCATCAATCGAGATGTTATGTATATATATTGCCGCACATTGCTTGTGACAAGGCGCAGTTGGGGACAAATAAAAGTGAGAATGTTCAGCAAATATACTGGGGCTCCACAGCAAGTTCAAAGAAAGGTTCGTTCATCCCTTTCCTGCAAAATTCTTACCACTCACTAGTTGCGAAAGACTGGGAAAACAAGAGCGGCAGCAGCACACTGCAAGTTTCTAGACAATCCTGTGCAGATTCATTCGTTTTTGATGTAGCTGAAAGAGGTTCGATAGAGGAGACCCTCAGCCTTTCGCCAGAGCGCATTACCCCTCTCCTAACGAAGAAGGAGAGGCTGGAAATGACCGCGCAGGATCTGTCTAAAAAATGCGGGCTATGCGAGGAAGAACAAGACGCCAGCGTGCAAGATGATGCCACAGACTATTCCTTTGCTAATTGCACTCTGGCTAATGAGGTTGTCGGGCAACAACAACTGCGCGTTCTGCCGTTTGCCTCGTGGGAATCCATAGAGTCTAATCGATGCTTCACGAGTAAGAGAGCTTCACGGTCGGACATCATAGGCGTTCCTTCGTCTGATTTAACAGGGCTATCCACCCTTCAGCGACACAGCACGCTATGGGCATCTGAGCAGCAGCCAGCTCTCCACGTTCTCGTAGGGCTGCGAGATCACAACACATGCTGCAGCTGTACCGAAGAATCCCAACTTTTGCCTGTCGCCCACTTCGGTCTTTCTTCCACCGGCTGCTCCAATTAGCACTCCGAAACCTTGAAGTGCGTACAGAAAGCCATGACAATATCGAACCGACTTACGGTTATCAAGCTGCTAGGTTTTTGATCCTGCATTTCTGATGCTTCTAGCGAATGCCAAGCTGTATAGGAAAATGTGTGAAAAAACCCTTACAGCAGGCCAGCTAGAGGGACTTTGGAGCTTTAGTGATCATAGGCCCGTCGGAACTTCGCACTTTCGTCAATTGATGCGCACAAGCAATGCCCGCAGCTATGCGTCTTCTGCCCTCAACGATAAGACAAAGCACGCAAAAGCCCAACTGTGAGACCTGATAAGGATCCAAGTTACCTCACACGATAGGGTGTTGTGAATCCATAACACTTGAACTACTGCTCGCCCAGGAAGCTGATGATGTGTGGGCTGAGTCCTCATTCCCTCACATGCTATGCCGATGTTTGTTCATGATAACAAAGAATATTACACTTTAGTATAATATCTGCAGTAAGCATGACATATTAATAGGCTATCCCTCTGAGAGACTGCTACGGGGCGCATCCTTCGAACCCCAGTGCCGAATATAACGAGACGGCAGGCAAATGTTGACTCACATCCTCAACTAGACTCTCCTGTGCTACGGAGACTCAGATGATTCAGCAAAATAACGAAGATAACAATGCTTAAAGGATGTTTCTTCTCTTATTTTAGTCTCAGACTTGTTCTGTTTGCAACCCCACTAGACCCGGCCTTAAGGGTTGGGAGGAGACGGCCTGAGATGTTGCGACACCTTTTGCACCAAATCTCATGTCAGCCTCTCCCATAGTCATAACAATGCGCCTCTGTGTAAACAATATCAAATAAATTCATCAACAAAACATTCATCAATAAACATGAATCGGCACTCACGCACATTCCCATTGTTCAATCGACCCTCACTCTAGCACAACGAGCACGGCAGTCTTTTCCGTGGCTATAGTGAGTATTCACTATACCAGGTCAGGGACTGAAAGCGGATATCACTGTTTTCTGGAAACTCGTATCTTAAGTATTTTGACTCTCGTGCACCTCGCAGCTGTCCCCAGATAAGACCGAGGACTCTCGTAATAAGCTGCTTTTGGGGAGTCTTATTTTTGGGTAAACGGACTCTACGGCAGCTCTTCGCAGTTGTTTTCTGAGACTGAGCACTCCCGTTGGGAGCACGCTACGGAGGGAAGACAACTGTAGTGTTGACACGTTTTTACACTCCACGTGACGCATAGAGCCCTTTTATGTGAAACAACGCAACTACAAAGCGAATATTTGGTGTTTTAGAGTTGTCATCTTGCTGAGATAGCATCAGTCCAACAGCATCGGTTGTTAAAAAGTAGGGTATGTCGAAATGTCAGAGAGTGCGAGCACCGGGTATCTTGTCAGGTGTCTGATGAAGCTCTTGGCGGTTGCATCTTCACTGTCTGTCCATGTAAACTGCCCTGCCCTTCCTTCTTATATAGACAGCTAGATGGGCGGCAATGAGAGCGAACTTGCGTATGGAGTTCTTCATTCTCTGTCCATACTGCCATGTCCGTCCTTTTTATACAGACAGTTAGAGGGGCTGCAATGCGAGCGGATTTGGGTATAGAGTTTCGGCACAAGACTTTGAAACATCTGAACGTCCTTGCGAGTGTGCAGTGCAACGTGACCACGTCCAATTTTCGCCATATCTGGTCCAATTCCCGTTACACACCGATGAAAGCTCAAGACACTAACTGTTCCGATGAAAATTGACACTTTGTAGCCTCTGTAAACCTTGCATTTGCACATACCAGCTGCAGAGGGCGCTGCAGGTGCTGGATGTGCTCCTGCACATTCTGGCTGAGCGCATGCGCATGATGCACGCATATAACCATTCATCTCACATTGAACACCCCTCAAACACCGGGACTACACTCTCTCTGCGGTTGGGCAGTACACTCTAGAGCTTCTCTGCGTCTCCGTCAAAACGTTGCTTCTAGAAACTCAACGAGGCGACATATATCCACACCACTGCACACCCGACACCCCAGCGACCTACCCCTTGCTTACCTCCCTCACTGCACGCACAGCACGACCACTAGTCTATGCATATATTAATTAACTAGTACCAAGCAGAATTTTTTTCTGCAACGAAAAAATCGTTGAGGACAGCGTGGTACTACACGAAAACCGCTGCGAAACGGTACACGCGCAACGCTATGCAGACTGAGACTTGTCCACAGTGGAAAACCGGTCATTCAGCTCCTTATCGAACTCTCACAAAAAGCAACATTATTACCAAACTCTGGCCATTTATCATAACTCGAGCATGCATTCGTAATTTTATCTGCCTTGCCAGTTCGTGGTAGGGGTGGCAGACTGCAGGGCTGGCCGAGCTCACGCCACGAGCCCTTGCAGTGACACCCTGTTTGCTTATCGCTGCTTGCTGGTGCGTCAAAGTGATACATCTTGCACTCTAATGCTTTTTTGGTTCGCATCTACTTCTGTTGCCTGATTACTCTCTGCCGCTCTCTCCAGAGCACTACCCCAGTCGTGCAGCTTCCGGCTCTAGCGGCGCGGGTGTTACTGTTCAACGCTAACTGACCCATCCTCTTTGGTCAGTTTTTCTCAACTCTTTGAATTCCTTTTTGTCTTTAAAATGGACGGCGCTGGAAAAGTTGGAGGAAAGGTGGGAGGAAAGGTTGGCGGTAAAGTTGGTGGCATGGGCAAGGGTGGTAAGGGCAAGGCCGGAAGCGGGAAAGGCAAGAAAGCTCCTCTTTCTCGCGCTGCTCGCGCTGGTCTCCAGTTCCCAGTTGGTCGTGTTCATAGAATGCTGAAGAGCCGCATTTCCTCAGAAGGTGAGCAAGCTTTTCTTCATTACCCCCTCCCCCTCCCCCCCCCTCAGTTTTGATGTACCCATCGCCAGGCCCTGGTTGCGACGAGCAACCGGTGAATGGTCCGCCTTTTCTCTCCTCATTTAATGTTCTTTTTTTTGTTTTTATTTCGTCATGCTGGTGAGAAGCTGGGCAGAATATAACTAGTCTTACCGAGGGGGGGTATGGGGGGGGGGGGNGGGGGGGGGAGTTTGTTGTCGCGATTGATGCGGGGGTTTATACCGTGTCTGGACATCGATATGCATTGCTCATCTCGCGGCATGGTTGCCAATCCATTAACCAGCTCGAGGAATTGCGGTTCAACTGCAGAAATGTTCGACCTTTCTGCATGGGGGGGGTGGCCTCGCCGCAGTCAGCAGCGCAGACATAGGTGGACAGGCAGATGCAGCGGTGTAGTCCTGTCTTAGTATGCTACATGACCAGGGCATAATGTGATGTTTTACATTTGGGTCTAGTGTGTGTGTATGTGCGGGTGCGTGTACCTGTGTACTGATTGACGTGCCTTTAAATGCTGCTGGTGTTGCTGCATCTTCTTCAGATGTGTCATTATCATTAACGGGGGTAAATGCTTTTTGCGAACAGGTCGTGTTGGCTCAACTGCCGCCGTCTATGCCTCTGCCATATTGGAGTACCTCACAGCAGAGGTTCTTGAGTTGGCTGGAAATGCATCGAAAGATCTGAAAGTGAAGAGAATTACACCCCGTCACCTACAACTTGCGATTCGTGGTGAGATTCGGAAATGCCCCGATAGTCATCCGTGTGTTCTGTGCGAGCTGCTGAGTTAGGAGTTGCTGCTTTGCTGTATTATCTCTGCAGGTGACGAGGAGTTGGACACGCTGATTAAGGCTACGATTGCAGGCGGTGGTGTCATTCCGCACATCCACAGGTCGCTGATGACCAAAGGTCCCACTACGCAGCCTCTGAAGAAACCCAAGAAGCCAGAGCTCGAGTAGTTGACGCCAATTGCAGGATCAGTTTTCGGGCAGGCCGTAGAACNAAACCCAAGAAGCCAGAGCTCGAGTAGTTGACGCCAATTGCAGGATCAGTTTTCGGGCAGGCCGTAGAACAGCAGAAAACGCAGGCGTGCCCCCGACCAAATTAGTCTTGCTGAACATCAATTCAGTTCCAGACTTTGGGATATTTGCTAAGCTTTACAGGGAAACTTGCTAATTATTGTTAGTGTCCGTAGTGTTTTTCTAGATGAGAAAATACGGGACTAGTTCCGAATATTACTTACACTTCGAAGCACCCCAGGCCACAGGGACTGAGTTGACCGTTTTGTGTTTAGCACGGACGCAGTTGCATTTTTATGTGCACTTTTTTGAATAAAGACAGGCACGTGGGCGTAAGCCCATAGAACGAGGGCGGTCGAATGCAACTCGTACCCACTCATAGGCCGAAAGGCGGCGGTACGGATTGTGGCTGTGCCATGAGAGTCAATTGTTACAACCGTTATTGAGCTCAAGTAAGGGGATGCTACGTGCATTTTTTTTTGGTTGTGCGTATTTTCACAGCACTTGCGTTGTATAGTTCCGTCTGCCTTGATTGGGTGGTTCGAGACTCCACCTACTTGCTAGAGGCCAAAGCAGCTCGCTCCGTTCGTTGCCGCTATCGAATGCACGGAAGCAGAGGGGTGGACCGTGTCTGTTGCCATAGTTATATTGATGCGAAGATTAGCTCACGACGTTTTATAGAGATGTCTCTTCGAAGCTACGTGGTTACTGGCCGGATGAGGGCCAGCTTCATATGAAGCTGGAGGATGCGCTTGGTGTATCCATGCGTAGTCGGTGGCCTATTAAGCATTTGGCAGTGCTAAGCGTATGACCAACAAGGCTAAATCAGAATTGCTTCGTCAGCGCAGTCCTTGGCAAGCCCTGTTTGGCAGCCCTCAAGGTCCCCTAGGGTCCTGTTCGTGGTGCAAGCCGGGGGGACATATTGGACTCTTCACTTGATTGGCTACAGGCGTCCTTAGTGAAGTCACTACTGTGGGAGTGCAAGAAAATACAATATACTGCAGTGCCATATAATACAGCATCTGCAAAAGAGTGGTATAGGAGGGAAACAAATGTGTTCCAGACAGAACGCGGCAGTGAACAGCTTCGGCCGGACCACCGTCTGGCCGTCGGGCTAACAATGTTGAGAAAGGAGAAGCCTACGACATTCCTAGAGCTAAAAAATCGATTTGTTCCAGAAATAAGCCCAATGTTTTAGAGGGCTCACCTCCATCAGTTTTTGCACAGTTCCGTCCCGCTGCAGCCCGCAGGCGGCCAAGGCTTCCGCTAGCCAAACACGTGTAGATGAATTCTTGCTAGAACGAGTACATGCACTTCAGCGCGTGCAAGCTTGCTATTTGGTGCCAACCACGCTCGTAGCAAGTGCCTACGGTGTTAGCGTATGCATCAACAGTTCTCGGTGGTCTGCTGGCACTTGATGTAACACTGTCTGTCCGACGTTAGCACAGGAACACTCACTTGCCACTGGTAAGCTGCCTGCAAGCAAACACAAGTGCTCAACAAGTGTCATATAGAAAAGAAATCTTCGTTGTACCGGCATGCGGGGCGGCCGTCTCGCATCATTAGTTGCGGCGAAGTGCGCTGCAACTCATTTTATCCTGCCTCCTCCCCCCAACTCCAGGGCCTGCACTGCTGCTCCCAGTACAGCTGGAGACATCAGATGGATGTCAGCTGCATTTAGGTAATTCTTACGGGCTGGTCATGATGTGCCATCGGGCGGGTAGGNGTGCGTTCCCACCAAGGAAAATTCAGCGTGAATGCCTCTGCGTGCATCGCTGTTTTCGCGTAGTTGGTCTGTGCATCCCCGCTTGCGTGCAGGCTGGCCACTGAGGGCCAAGTAAGTGCTCAACAACCAATTGTTAGTTTATGCAGCAAACGGGGTTTGGTGATAGATGCACATGGAGATGCTTTGCAGCACGAGTTGCACACGGGTGTATTGCAACATGTCTCAGCTCATTTCATCTCTTCCGGCCCCTGGCCCTTGTGCCGCCTGTCCTAGGCCTCCTGGTGACTGGAGAGGTGGCAAGCGGCTTTTGGTAAATATTGCCTCAAGTATTTCGACTCGATAAGATCTCATCGCCGTCTTCCAATAAGACCGAGGACTCGTTACACTCTGCAACATCTCATCGTCCACCGGCGCAGGCGCGGGCCACGAATTCCCCTCGCCCCCCTTCCACCCCGCCCGCCCAAGAATTCTCAATTAACATGTCCCTGCAGTTTAGGAGGTACATTTAGTAGGTCGAAGAACATACGGATTTATGCTTATTTTGCAACTCAGAATATGGATTGCCGTCTTGTATCTATCGTCGGGATGTACTGGGTGGGATATGCAATAACGCGTCGACGAACTCGAATGATGAGTGGCCTGCCATGCTGTACGAGCGGTCAAGTGGTTCGTCAACTCAGGGCTTCGGAAAATATTGCATTGCCATACCTTTATTGAGGTGATTGAAGTCGACGCGCACACCCCGCCGACGGCATGCATGCATTTCCACTCCGTTCCAGGCAGTGCCTCTGCATTGTACTGTACTCCGCTGGCTCCCGTCTGCTTGAGGCGCATAGTCCACTGCTATTACTGTACACTACTATTACTGTAGAGAATGACAGTGCTGTTGCATGCGCTGAGAGATCCACACTCTCACAGGTTCCCCGTACAAAGATTTCAACCACCATGTCTTCTGGAGGCCGCATGTGTGCCCTTTATTGACTCATTCGCTGCATGCGTATGACTACGTCGTGGTGAACTACTCCCAGGTAGAAGCCCAAAACCTTGGTATTATGGCCCTATCCTGAAGTAAGTTCGCATTTTACACCCACATTTTTGCCAAACTGCGTGTCCTGTATGCCATCAGCGGAGCGTTGTCGAAAAGACTGCGCTAACGAATAGACAGATAGGTTGCACCTCCTCGCCATAGCTTCGCATATCATATTCACTTCGCAGCATGCATCAAATGATGTTGGCAACTCCTGAAGCGTAACAAGCGCTTGGATCCACCCATCCAAGCTCGTAGTAACTTTCGGGAGTTTCTAGTGTCATTTGACACTATTGAGAACTGTTAAACACTTACGTGGGCCTGAATTGAATTGCCAGCCCGCACGCAAGTAATGAGCAGGGGTTGGGCCAATCCCAAAGTGTGGGAACAAGCCTTAAAATAGGAGAAAATTGAAACAGCAGACGGCGGCGGCTCTAACCGAGCTACAGGTAGACGGAGGAGCACTGATCACTGAACAGAAGAAAGTCGCTTCTGCAGCCCAATATATATATATATATATATATATATATATATATATATATATATATATATATATATATATATATATGAACAAGCCCTACCTCACGGCGGAGCAGCCATAGCTGAAACATAGAATGCAGCAAAATTCTGAGCTGAGCTGCACAGCTTCACGTCTGCAGTCGCTTCCGTTGAGTAGAAGACGGCCTGTCAATATTCCTGGGAAATCGATCTGCGCAGTCAGTCCTCTGAAACGCACTCTAGCTTCTGGGCTCCTCGCTAGTTTAGGCAGCATATTTCTTTTCTTTGAGTTTTCCGGGTTATTATGGATGCGTCTAAGTTCTCACTCTCCCCTACTGGGTCCCTCTGGCTTTGACATTGCTGTTGCTTTGTCGGTTGTGCTGGGAAATTCCGGTGGTTCCCCAAGCGGTTTTAGGAATTATTAATATTGTGGTGGCATCCGCAGGCTGGCGGTTAGTCAACGATGTAGGCCAGAGCATTAATCCAACCCAACGCACGGGGAACGTTGAAGGTGGCCGATGGACGTTGCTTGTTGTGGTTTTTCGTCCGGCGTTCTTCCGCTTTCTTATGCATTTCAGCTGAAGCTCTGAAAGCCAGCAACTGCGGGCGTACGGGGCTAGCTTGCAACAACCAGGACCAACATCGGGTCAGAGAACAGTCTTTCAGTGTAGACCAGGCATGTCGGCCAATCATATTCTCGAAGACGGCACAATTGTATTGGAGTCCATCCATCAAAATGAATGAGCTTACTAATTTGGTGATTTCTACGGTGTACAGAGTCATATGCAATGGAGGGGCGTGTGTTTGGTGCGTTCAGCTTGACCGTTTGCCTCCGGGAGTTCCGCAGGGGGATATTTACGGTCGATATTAAGCCGCTGCATGAATTTGCGCCAGTCGGTGCTAGCGAATTCCGGGTCCCTGTCAGTAATGACGTTTTTCAGTAAACTGTGGAGCTTCCAGAGAGGATTGATGAATTACTGTGCGACTCCTTTTACTGGAATGGAATTCGGAAAACAGCAGGAATTGGATGTGCCTGTTGAGGCTGTCCACGACGGCATAGGTCCTGTCACATGCTGTGAACGATGGAAATCGGCTGTGAAATCAATTGAGATATCCGTCGAGAGTTGTTCGTGTATCAAACAACCCTGCAGAAATCCTTGTTTGAGGCCGTTCTGCAGATGTTGGCGTTGCCATTCCGGAAAAGTGATGACATTTTCCTCGGCGGAGGGGAGATTCTAAAGCCAAAAAACGGCTCTTTCAGCTCTCTCCAATGTTGCATTAGCCCGACGATGGCCCGGTAAAACGAGATCGTGCGTTTTGGGTAGAACATCTGTGCAAAGTGATGCTGGAACCAATAGTCTTCCGAGTTTACGGTTTGTTTGGTACCACATCTGGTCGTTGTCTATGTTGTAGTGCTTAAGGCGCCGCCCGTTGTTGAGCGTATTGTAGTGCCTGGCACTACAATGCCAGTATCGGCCAGGCCGGAGACATGGTAGGTAACTAACGGTAAGCACAAATGCCCTAAACGAACGGGTCAACTAATCATTTCATACAACTATAGTAGGATGAGAAGCGTCTATACAAGTGAAGAAGCGAGACTGTGAACGGGTGTAGGCGTGGCCGGGGAGCGGTGCGAGTATCCTCCCAGTGCTGGCGCGACGATCCCAGGCTGCAACCCTAGCGGAAACCCCAACGCCGTGAGGTCGATCTATGCTGCCGCTGAATAACATATCATTTTCCCCTCTAATGTTACAGGCCGTTATCGTTGTGATCCCTTCGCATTCCATTGCATTGTCTGTCTGGTGCTCGTCTCTAGGCTAGGATGCGCCACGTGTGCACATTGATTCCATTCGCCTTGGTTCTGTAGCGGTATCCGCTCCTACGCTTATCGCGGAGACAAATACTTACCGTTATATCAATACTGAGGAGCATCTTCGGTCCTCAGAAGCTTCACGGTTTCTGAGTCTGCCGCTGAAACCCAGCGCACTACACTTAGCGAGAACGTCAGTTGCGTGGGCATCAGAAGAGTACGAAAAACGCAGTTTGGAAAGGAGGCGGGGACCATATCAGACAAGCGCAGTTGCAGCACACAGCGCCTGATCCATATGGTTCCGTATTTCGGCATACACGTTGGTCACTCGATATGCTTGACGGTGAAGACGGACTGCGGGAGCCAGAAAAGCCACCAAACAACTTGCATTGTCGCAGTCTAAAAACATTTTCTTCAGGCGCATCAGGGATTGATGTTCGGTTTGGACCGTGGAGCGCCTGCCATATGGATAACGCCGACAGTTTTTTTACTTCCTACCCAGCCGTCTTCAGCTCTTTCTCACGTACCACCTACTTCTGCTCCCCTTCTGTGAATTTGTCTGAATTGCAGGCGATTGCCGATGAGTTGGTGCNTTGGTGCATTTTTCAATCGCTGCCTTGGTGAAAGAACATGTCCCCGACTACTGTGTCATTTGCGTCGGTTGTTACAACCGAGCATTGGTAGACTGTCACGTGTTTCAAGAGGCTTCTTACTGGCTGCGTCTTCATTCTCTACACATATAAGGTGGTTGTTTTTCTCATCAGATCAAGTAGAGAGGTGACACCACATGGCACACACTTATATTCTAGTTTGCGGGTGCGGGTTTGAAACGCAGTCGCGTGCCCACCTTCAGAACGTTTTACAACGTGCAAACACGCCTGTGCTAGGCCAAAAGATGAATGGACTAAGGAACCCTGCAAACGTTCAAGTAGTTCGTCGGTCTGCGATATCAGAAACACTTATTTTAGCGCAATTTTGTTGAGTTACTTTGAGTCAACGCAGTTGCCCCGCTTTCCATCGTTCTTCTTCGCCAGCAACGGACTGCATCCAGTCGCGTTAGTTGACGGCTTAACTTTGGGCTGTAAAAGCTGCTTTATTCCCCTCAGGTGCTGCTTACGTACTCCAGCATCCCAGTGATTTGCATCCCTTAGTTCCCTTTCAACCTCCCATCCGGTTACCCGTTCCCTCTGCATGGGACAACCCTTCTATGAACTAGTGGGGCAAGACTTCGGAATCCGCCGTTGGATGACTCCTCACCAAAGACTGAGACATCTCGAAATAGCGTTCTATCAACTGTTTCCCCTTTCTACCCTTCTCAGTTCTGCTGTACCCTGTTCCCTTGCCGACCCGGGAATAAACCCAGATCGCTGCGCATGGTGGTTCAGATGCGCTCTGGGAAAGCGGTACCCTTTCTTGGACGCAGTTACCACTTTTGCGTTTCCCTTTCCTACAGAGAGAGTTTCCGCAGCAACTGTAAGTCTTAGGGTGAACTTTGAAGACGAAGATATAAGTTGAACGAATCCAGGAACAATGTTGCCTCCTCATCGCGGCGAGGGTCATATCTGGACAGCCGACAAAGGCTGAGGCAATCTTTATGCATTGTTTTTGGTGAAAAGGCCTCTTTGGCAGGATAAGGTGCAGCTAGTGCAATTGCCGTTTTTTGACTTTTCCCTAATAATCGCTGCTATGCACCAGGCCGCCTTGCCGTGCAGGTGTGGTTCGTTGCTTGCGCCTATCCCGATGAATATTGCAGTGGACCCAAGTCTAACGAGAGCCCTAGAGTTAATTCAAGGACTGTGGTGATCTGAAGTAGACCCAAATACTAAATATAAGAGTCTACAGAAACGCAGCTGACATCTTCTCTTGTCACCAGGCGGCCNCGCACTCTGCCGCAACTCTTGCTGGTAGGCACCCCGAGATGCATGCACGACGAAGCCCCTTTTCCTGTATGCATGAACACTATCGAAAATCGTTGAACACATACTTGGCCCTCAATTGCCCGCCTATAAGCAAGTAGAAAAACACATGCCAACTTCACACAGAGATGCTACACTTTTGCAATGCAACCCCATGGAAGCATCACCAAGGTCCCTTCGGATGCACGAACGAGCACTGTCAAGAATTTTTAAGCATTTGCTTGGCCCTCATTAGCCAGCCTGCACACAAGTAGAAATAGTACCAACTTGATAGAGGCCATGCTACAATTGTTGCGCATAAGTAAAGACGTATGAATCAATCTCGGACAGAGAATCGGACAGAGAATGTTCCACACACTGTCGTTGTAAGGTTGAAGGCATATTCTTGCACTCCCAAGATTTGTAATGCCACACGCTCCACATGCAGCTCAGACGGAACATCGATTAACGAATAATTCAGGGAATGCTGAATCACCCGCACATGCACACCGCTGGTTGTTGTATAGCTTTATGAGCTACACCAACATTTGGGACAAATAAATCCCGTGCTTTTTTATTTACTATTAGAAGCCACACTCGCTGCTTAGCTCTTCTAATCGTGGCCTCTATCGTATCCCGTTCATGCGAAGTCACGCATGTATCACGTGGGTGGTGAGAACTGCAGACGAGCTTCCGAACGTGCCACGTGAATATAGGGCGAAATGAGTGGGGCTTTTTATTATTTGGAATTCATGTAGTAATCTTTTTGGCAGTTGCTGCAGTAGAATATTACGGCTCGGGTGTCAGCTTACTTGGGCTGTCGCCGCCGGGCCTGCTAGTCTGCAGGGGGCATGCAGGGGCCTCAATATAAAACTTTCCGACAACCGAACGCCACATTAGCTGCGTTTGCTTTGAAACAGCTACGTATATTGGGGCAAGTGTGAAGGTGCTTTCTGCCAGCTCAAGAAGTGCCGAAGCATTCCTAGGAGCGCCGCCACGATGGCATAGCGACGACCATTGTTGTTGCAACCGCTATAAAAAGGCGAAGACATTTGGGAAAGTGGTGTATTCTTCCTGACTCTATCAATACTGGCTCATGGATGCGCCAAGCGGCGAGCTGCTTGCATTGGGTCATCCCACACGGCAACGTGGCATTACAGTCGGTGCTGGCCCCTAGTTATCTTGGAACTTGAGGTCATAGGGGCGCTCTTCACCATACATGTGTTGTGAGTATTTGAATTGGACGCTCAAAGTAAGATTGACGCAATACGCAGGCTCAAATAGCGGGAATGGACGGCCACGGCGAGCTGGTGACCTTAGAGGAGGGGTGGACCAAACTGCGTCTCCAGGGGATTGAAAAGGTTCAGCGATTCCTGGAGCAGCGACCCGAGCGAGGCCATACAACCAAACGCGTCTGTGTGGTTTCGAACGAGGACTACGCCGCTATATACACGTAAGGGGGGCAATAATCCCTACCTGTGCCCGCAAATCACCCGCTATATGCACGTAAGGGCGCATTAATCCCTTTGTGCCTTTACAAACTAGCAGTCCGGTACACCCAGCACGATGACTTCNTAATGTGTGGCTTGTCACCTACCTAAGACCAGTGACTCTGCTGTGACTTGCCCTTACCACCCATTCAGTTTGGTGGAGCGATTGATGCAGGATGGTCTACACGATGTGCACACAGAGGTCTCCATACAACTTTTCACAGGATCTGTATCAGCTTTATGGAGACTCTATCGTTCGTTACGTCCACTCTACGGTAAGGCATCACATTTTTAAGCGAGGGCGACAGCTGGCAAAGACGTAAGCCTTGGCGTTCAATTTCTTTCTCCAGTTTTTCAGTAATCACCTATTACTACCTTCTTCCTTTGGCGTATAGTATGCGCTTTGGTGCACACATTGGAGGGTGATTGCGAATGTTAGGAACCTGAATGGGCTTCTTGTTTTTACCCTGTCTTAAGGTCCTACCCTCTCTGGAGAATCGGAGAGGCTCCGATCTTCTAGAAGAGTTGCTTTGTCGATGGGAAAACCACCGCACCCTAGTGAAGTGGCTACAAAAATTCTTCGCCTATCTAGACCGTTACTACGTCAAGATGTACATGGAAGCGCCCCTTGTGAAGAGAGGGATTGCGATTTTCAAGGACCATGTAGGCTAAGGCTGGGTCTCCAGCAGAAAGGCTACCCTGTTAAGTCCCCCAACGCTCAGTTCGTGTTTATGATTATGTTATGTGTTTATGTTTTATGAGCATTACCAGTGGTTCGTAACGCGCTGACCCCTTGCAGGTCTTCGAACGAGTGAAGCAGCCAGTATCTGCTGCAATCGAAGAAGCGATCCGGCGCCAGCGGGAAGGTACGTCGATGCTACCGATGAACCCGTCGTTGCATACAGCTCCAGCCAGGCTAGCCGAAACGTGACGCACCCTGGGTGGCGGCCTCCATTGATTTGGTTAGTATGAGGAGGAGGCTGCTGTCTTCACCATATGCATGCACTTTCCGTAGGAGAGTCTCTTGATGAAGAGAGCGTGGCACAGCTGGTATGCATGTACATTGGTCTTGACCCTGAAGATGAAGGCCTGGGCCTGTACCAGCGTGAGTTGGAGGATTTGCTTCTGGCTTCCACAAAGCAGTTTTACGACCGCAAGGCCCGAGAGTGGATAGCAAGCAGCACATTTGCCGAGTACCTGCAGCTGACAGAGGTGAGCATTCTTACTGCAAGTGTGCTTACAAGCTAGTGCAATCGCCGTACCCCCACATAATTTCTTTTGACATGTGCTATATCCTGATTTGGCTAATGTTCGACTTATTTTCTAAGAATAAGCAGTATACTTGGGTCTTTACGAATGCTTCGTTATTTTTGATTCCCGACTCGCAGGCTGCGCTTGAGGCTGAAGCGCGCAGATGCGAACGGTATCTTCACAGCAGCAGCAGTAGTAAACTGCTGGGCGTCGTCGTCAAGAGTACCTTGCAGCAGCATCAGCAGGAACTTCTGGAAAAGGATACTGCTATTCCCTTTTTGCTTGCTGGGGAGGGGCGAGCTGAATTACGACTGGCGCATAGACTGTTTGCCCTCGTCGATGGAGCAGTTGAGGACTTGGCGAAGCAGTTTAAGATGTACATCTCTGCATGTGGAGAAAAGGTAGGGAGCAAGATTAACCCGTGCTTTAACAGGCATGCTCGATACGCGAGCTGGGTGTTTCCGTGCAAATTTTCCAATAATTTCTGTGGCACTCTCAACCTCACCTTGAGTTCTTTCTAAATCGATTTTTTGCGGTTTGCTGTATTCTGGTTTCCTTAGCTGGTGCAGCAACGGATTGCCGCAGTGCGCGAGACGCAGCAGATGAGGGCGCAAGGTTCGAACAGCAGCAACAGCAATGCCACGCTGTCACAGCAGCAGCAGAGGCAACAGGACATCATCTGTGAGCATCGGTTTGTGGAGAGCGTGCTGGATTTACACGACAGATTCAAGAGTATTACGCTGGACTGCTTCCGCGCTCAGCCACGAATTTCGCAGGATGCTTTTGGATCTTCAACGCGGCCTGCCCCTCAGGCTGATTCTTTGTTTCAGAAGGCATTAAAAGAAGGTCCGTGCGGCGTTGCCGATGTTCACTCGTTCCAATAAGGGATAGTTGCCACACTGTTGTGGACACAAATTGCCGTGTTGCCATGCGTGTAAGCTTTCACTGTTTTTGCCGTCATTGCTTCAGCATTCGAAAGCTTTGTCAACGCGCAGTCTCTGCAACCCCCCTTTGCCCAGTTACTGGCTTCGTTCTGTGATCGGATCTTGAGAAAGGCAGGAGGTAAGACATACTCTTCCATATTGCATATGTTGCTTATATATACTGTATGTTACGGTATAAACGAGTAGTCGAGACGGTTGTCGTCCTTGCGGCATACGCGGCTGGGGCTGTTTCCTTCTTCGAGGCATGGATCGTTCTATTTTCTGGCCTGCTTATTCGGGAGAGTGAAGCCCATTCCTGTTTTGAATTTTTTCTAGACTCTGCACATCGTTGCAAAAAGGCTAGGCTGTTGTTGTTTTTCAGGCGAGCGAATGGGCGACGAAGAAATCGAAGAATGCCTTATGAAGGTAGTAGAAATATTCAACTACGTTACAGACAAAGACCTGTTCGCTGAGCAATACAGGTGGGCGTCATGCTGCGGCTGGATCCTTTGACAGGTGCAGTATCAACACTTGCCGCAAATAGTGTGACAGACCTGACTCGCGTTTGCGTAAGTTGAAAGTATCGCTTTGCTAGGGGTGCTCTGCGTGCTATCTTCCGGCAGAACGCAGTTGGGTCGCCGGCTGCTGCACGAGACCTCGGCATCAATTGAGTTGGAACGGCTTTTGATAGCGAAGTTACGTCTCAAATGCGGTGCTCACTTCACAGCAAAAGTGGAGGGGATGGTCAACGACCTGCAAGTTGCTGCTGGTCTAATGCGTGCTTTTCAGCAGCAGCAGCAAGAAGAGCAACTGAAGAAACAAGCGGATCAGCGTGATCAAAGACTGGATGACTCTGCAGCCCGCCTGAAGGATGCATCCGTTCCAGCCGCGTCAGTGGAGACGGTAATGATAGGTGACGTGGAATTCTCTGTGCAAGCGCTGAGCACTGCGCACTGGCCAACCTATCCAGGCAAGCGCGAACAGGACTTTACAGTTAGCGTTTTCCCTACAGTCTGCGCAGATTTTGCTCAGGGCGCACATCTAAACTTTAGTTGGCTCCCATAAGTCACGAATATCTCAAGCAGAGTGAGCCGTTTTGCATCCGTTATCAGTGAACACAGCGTTGCTTACGGTTTGGTTCCGGTGCCTGCAGCACCTGATTTGCGCCTGCCACCAGAATTAGCTCAGTGCGTGGGGATATTTGAGCAATTCTACGCATCACAGACTCAACACCGGAAGCTAACATGGGTTAATTCATTAGGTAAGCCAATTATGGATGATGAGCACGCCCACAGCGGAAAGCCCTTTTATCTCGGAGTGCGGACCACCTGCCATCACAGGACTCTTAAAATCTTTCACCGCAGTTCGGCTGCCTGCCTGCTCACCACCGTCCGCACCACTGTCCCTAAGACTGGTAATTTTTGCCTGCAGGGACTGCCCTCGTCGCCGCGCAGCTTCAGAAGCGCCAAGATCTTATCTGCAACACAATGCAGGCGACTCTGCTACTAAGATTCAACAGGAAGCAAGATGACAGTAACAGTGGCAGCAGCGGTTGCTGCGCAGGTGATCCTGCCTTATCGGTGCAGCAGCTGGTGGAAGACTTGCGTCTTGACGAGCTGACAGTGAAGAAGCTTCTTGGCTCGCTGATGCTTGGGCGTTTTAAAATACTGAAAAAGGTGGGTTGGGGGGGGGGGAGGGGGGAATGGCGAATTTGCTGTTACTGGCTGAACGCGTTGGCTTTCCCCAATTCGATTGCTTGTTGTCTTGCACATTTGGGTGAAGCACATTTTGGTGCGCGGAGCAAGAGACTCCTCTCTCAGGGCGTCGTGGCGCTCTGCGTTAGGGTGCCACAAGTTATTGTCCAAGCATTTCCTCAGGGAGAGAACGACATGTTTCATGTGAATGAGAGTTTTTCGTGTCTTCATCGGAAGATCAAGCTGCCAACTCCGGTGCAGGAAGAAACACAGTGCCGAGGTGAACTTAAGATGCATGTTCCTTCCTCTAATCGGGTCATTCTACCATTATTCGAAGGGACCGTTGAAGGCAGTCCTAGTGCACAGTGGACAAACTCTTGCCGATTGCTGAATTTCTGACGAGTCTAGCAGTTACACTGCTTACGACTGTGCTGACAATTTTGTGCAGCTCGCGTTGAAGAGGACAGGTCTATTACCGTTGACGCGGCAATTGTACGCATTATGAAAACGCGCAAGGTCAGCTTCCATACCGATTTGCACCCGCTACCAGTGCTACCTTTGGCTTTTCCACAACAGTTTGCGTATTCCTTACTGACAGACTATTGATTGATGAAAACTAGTGGTTGCTTTTCTTCTTGTGAACAGAGCTTGTCACACCAGCAACTGGTAGGAGAGGTCATGGCCCAGCTGCATTTCTTCCAGCCTCCCCCGAAGCTTCTTAAGGAAAGGATACAAGACTTGATAGCCAGGGAGTTTTTGGAAAGAGATAAGGACAAGCCTACACAATACAACTATGTGGCATAACGTATTTTTGGTGCGGCGACTTCTACCTGGAGCTTAGAGGACTGCTGACCCGTTACATTGCCGCATTCATTACTTTTGTATGTTAAAATAGTCAGATTCCCACGGAACCTAGTGAATCCTTGGATCGTTGTGAACCATGGCTTCAGATGACTTCAAATGGGCATGCAGCAGGCTGAGGATCGTATTCCGAGCCGGTTAACTAGCGGGCTACTGCACGCTACGGTTTCTTGGGCGTACATGCAGAAGGCTTTAAAATTCCCATTGATCCAAACATGCCTCAGGAGTAGTGTTGGGGTGGAAGCTCCCAAAGCCGCCGGTGATTCTGTCAATTTCAGCAAAGTAATGGAACTGGGGGAAGTGCCGGTTGCCATGTTTGCTCCAGCTCATTTTATGTATCAATTCGTCGCCTTGTTAGGAGGTACTGCACAGCGAACCAAGATGGAAGGTCAAGGCTTTTACATACCTGCTTCGAACCTGTTTTGTCTTTGGTGCGCTGCTGTAAGTGTGTTTACCACTTTTTTGTGTACCGTTCAGCGGCGTGCTTCTCATTTTCGAATTTGGTCTCGATAAGCTTTAGCTCTTGCAGTTGCAGCTGAAGTTCTTCCTCTCTGTCTTGTAGCGCTTGTTCGAGGAATTTGATATAGGCTGTGAGCCGCTGCTGCCCATTGACGACCCTAGAAGTGTACACCGATAATTCATGTTGTAGGTGGCCCTCCTGCTGAGCCACTTCACGCGACAGCGTTGATAGTTCCCTGTACGCGTCATCTTCTAGCTGTTGTAGCAGAGATACTACGTCTCCACTGCCAAGTCGAAACTGCATCGCTAACAGCCGAAATCTGTCAACAAAGGAGGCCACTTCCTGATTCGCGAAGAAATGGACTTCATCAGGCAAAGCTGCATACTGTTCATCAGACAGCGCACTTGTTACCACATCTGGCGGCAGTTCTACCACTTTCAACGGTCTCTCCCTTCGTTTTCGTTCACTCTGCTCGATGACCCGTAACAGCTCAAATTCAGCCTGCTGGTCGCTGGCCGTTCTCTTTCCAAAGGCTGTTGCATCACCCTCCTCTTGCTGCAGATGCTCCAGCTCCAACGCCTTCTGTTGAGCCTGCAGTTCCTCCTGCGAAGGTTGAAAGCGGCAAGAGAGCTCTTGAACGAAAAGCTGCAGGGACTTCAGTAGGGAGCATTGCTCAATCTTCCCAAGTCTCTCCATTGCTTTGATTTCAGCTGAACGGAATGCCAGCGATCGCAGCAGCACGCACAAGAAAAAGCTGAAGCATATGGTCCCGATAAAGAAAAGATAGGGATAGAGAAAAACCCCGGCCATCACAGCGTCTGCTTGAAAGAGTTGTGACGAGGGGAAGAAGCCCGTTGTCAGCATAATCGTGGAAATAAAGGAATCCTTGAGGGTTGAGTAGGTCTCCAACTGACGCCCAAAGGATAGAAAGCATAAATAAGAGAAGCCGATGAATACAAGTATCGTTCCCATCAAAACCTGGATCATCTCTTCCGCTGCAGAAGCAAGCGCGAAGAACATAAGGGTTACCCGTTTCC